TAACTAGTATGAATAACGATCCTCATTCACAACGTCTCTGTACTCAAATTACATTTATGGCTGTACCAATATTGTGATTGATCGTAGGAGTTTTTTATTTAATAGGGACTTTTCTCCTTTCTCTTAATCTCTTTTAGAAGAAACTTTTCCCAAATAGACATGTTTAGAAATATCACGGTGATTATTATAGTCTGATAATTTGAAGTCAAAACTCATAACGTAACTATCAGGTCCTGGTCATTTTCATTACATTTTATTAAAGAAAATTGTATGAGTCATATTAAATTTTAAAGTGAGACATCAGCCTCAACTGTTAAAGTGCTATGATGATGTCCTCCCAAGTAACATCCAGAATATTAAGCTAAACAGCAATAAGAGCCACAAGACCAATTTTACGTGAATCATCTAGTTATGCTGCAGATGTAGTCTGTAATCTTCCCGAGTTACTGCCAACTCCCGGACATCCGCGGCAAGTCGAGGCTAGCCACAGGATCGCCGTGACCAGAATCGAATTAAAAATTAAAACCTCTTTGGTCCATGCGTCGCTCGGGGAAATTGAAGCACAGCAAAAACACTTATAGTTACTAGGTCACATGCTACGTTATAAGGTTTCATTCCATGTCTGTAATTTAACTAATTATCAATTTTCTTCTGATTTATTTCGTTGCAGTAAGTAACCAAGACAGTTATTCATGTCTCTGGGACGCGCCGGACTTCGGTGTTCCGGTGTTTTTATGGTTGTATCTACTGTAGATCCTGGCTTACAGGAGTTGCAGTTGTCTTGGGAGGTTGTGGAGGTCTTGTCACAATTAAAAAAAATAGTTATCAGTCATAAATTCATCTTTGGTCCTACCTCGAATCTTAGGACCAACTTAAGTTTAGCTTGGAAATTTCTTAGTTCAATCGCCTTGTACTCTGGTGATTCAGACGGCATCAGACCATCTTACATGAGGTCATTATAACACGGCGGCTAGTTAAACTGGTAGTCTACTATGTTCTGTTAGTTTAACATTGTGAAAGTGAATTAATTTTAGCCAGTTTCATGATGTAACCACCAAAATATGTATACGCTGATGCAACCATCTAACGATGTTAATCTGGGGAGAAAACATCATGTGAAACACTATGGAAACACCATACAATTAGTCCGAATATGTATTTAAATGTGCTAACTATGCTGTCTAGTTTTTACTCTTAACGCAATTTCTTTCCTTGTCGAAATGTATATGTGTATTTTAACTATCCTAAGGCTGAAACCAAGTTCATGAATCTCATATTCGTTGGTTATTTTAATGATTTGTTCTAGAATTATAGTTTGTTTACTGGCCTTGTGACCGTCCGACGGACCGCTCGATCAGCTGTTTTACCCGCGTGGGATGATTGATAAACGCTAACACATGAATGTTTCCTCTCCTCACTAGTTTCGCTACATGCTAAACAAAGCGCACTAAAAATAGTACCGTCTAAACATGTTTACGAAACACTCTTCCGATGAATTCAAATTTGACAGTGTTTGTCTCAGTTTTTTGAGTAAGTGCGTCACTTCCGATGTTTCGTGCAAAATTTGTATGGAAATGGAATCTTTCTAAATTGTCCGATATCCTGCTTATTTATATTCAATGTTTACTGAGTTAGATATTGATGTGGCAGACTACATAATACAATACATACATAATATTTTCGACAATCATATTATTATCGTAATACAATAGACTGACGAAATATTCAATCCATTATGAATACCACAATGGTAGACTTTTCTTTGTATTTCCTCAGATTAGCGTGTGTTAAAAACAGCCCAAAACAATCCGAGATAATACAAATTATCAACACATCATTCATATTCAAAGTCGGAAACAATATTCCGCGGCGATAGGATGCGGCGGTCAGTGACCTCGGCCATGCGCAGGAGTGTCCCACCTGTACACCACAAATAAACACAAAAGTACCAGTGTGCATGCACGATAACAAGGTCACGCACACTTTTACACCGATTTCAATAATTAAACTCACGTCTTTACCTGTGTGCAGTACTTATATTATACTGCACACAGTAGGTACTTAGTACAGTGACAAAAGGATAGCAAATGATATTTCTGATCTATACAAAATATGTTATCTTTGATAAAAAAATCAAAGTCAAACTCTGCATTAAGATTAACAGATACACATATTTGCATATTAAGTTGTTGTCTTATGCCATTCTTCTATAGATTACAAATTATTGCAGCTTTTTCTAAACCATTTCCGACTGGTATTTCTGTAATATTTTTTCGTCACATTGACACGTCACTTGGCGTCTCTCGTCATTGTCATTCTGGTCCCAATTTTGACTAATATTTGACAATTAAGTAAACTTTTGTTTGTGTTAATAAGCACACAAGCCTGTAAAAAAATGTGACGCTTAAATCATAAATGACTGAGAATTAGTTTTCCGTTCTTAAGAATTTTGCTCATGTGATGGTCTTTCGTGGTGCGTGAGCTAGTTTGAGAAGTATTCGAATATGCTGTAGTGTCTACTACTAGATTTTTCTTCTACAAAACTATTATATACATATTAGGTCCACACTCATCCCCACATGACTTCATAATCAATAAAGAACTAAAGATACTAAAGATTGTTGATTTCAAGGTTCTACCTGCAATCTACTTCGTGACAAATCAAACGCCTCGTTTATGTGTAAATGCAATGATTACGGGCTGCGATCAATATGCGAGTATTTGCAAGTCTATTAACTATCGCGACACGTGATATGCTTCCTCTTTGCACGTAGGAACTTAGCATTAATTGTCCAATGCGAGAATAAGTACTTCCTCATTGAAAACTCCTTTAAATGCATGATGATTTTAATCAACGCAATGATTTGATTCATGGGACTGGTAAAGTTCGTTTGCATGAAGCCTGGAGTCTGAGCAATATCTTTATGAAAAAGGTACGGTCCGCTTACAAGAGACTCCTTACATATAAGGTGAAAAGTGGGTGGTATACCTTGTATCCTATCGCAGAATTAAAGACATGATTTTGTGCTATAGTAAAATGTAATGGAATCGTGTCCATTCCAAATTGCTTCGAAACAGCGACCCATTGTAAGTCACACACATGCAGATCTACACCATCGCTAAATCATAAGTTCAATGAACGACTCGCTTCACGACCAACACGCTCTATCATTACTACCAATACATCTCCTACAAACGATATTCCACCTTATTTCTATCGACATAAAAGTTAATGATAAATGGTCTAGTACATGTTGTCAAAAATACAGTTATGATCGTGTGGAGCGAATTTTACTCATTTTTGGCTCGATACAATTTAGTTACTGCAAATTCTGGTATGTTTAAAATTTCAGCAAACAGTCAATATACCTACCTAGTTTATATTGGCAATTAATTGAATATTGGTGCAACGAGACTCGATGTGGACCAATATTAGTTGCTGACGAGGGTCCTTCGCTTAGCAATATTGCAATCTGGAGATGATATTCGCAATATTGGCGAACCGAGGCAGGTAGCCAGCATTGACCTCACGTGGCGGTGACCGGTGCCTACGGTCGACCGTAAATAAGCGCTCTAATAAGTAATTTGTTATTGCGACCTCCAAACTCGACTTATTGTTAAATCTTTAGCATTGCTACGGCTTGACGCACGAGTTTCGCGTACTTTGTGTGCCTACAAGCAGAAACATTGTTTTTGAACCGTAGGACTTAACATAAAGGTATTGAAACGTCATTCTGACGATAATATATTAGTAACTATTACATTAAGGAGCCAACAGATGTCTTACGACAAGTAATTGACAATAGCAAGGCAAGAAACGCTCCACCATTAAAACATTAATATATTTACCATTAGTATATTTCTATGTAAATTGATCACGTAACATAAAGACCTGCATCTCGAACGTTCTATGCAACGCAAATTACTTTCTAGTCACTATCAGATAACGTGTGACGTTGGCGTCTGAAAGCGTACGCACCTTTACACAGCACACAGCCATTGTCTTTGTGTACTACTCGATATGAATCGAACGATGACTTGAATGAAAAGAGTATCTAAACTTCATTAAAATATCCATTTACTTTCTATTCCTTCATTATTTAGAATTCTTCCCCTTTATCCTCGCTTATTTATGTGTTTAGTTCGTTTTTCTCTTCTACTACCTAATTAGTGCTTATGAACAGCTTCTTTGACGCTTTGTGCCTGCAATTTTCAGTCTCTTGTTCTCCCTACAATCTTTCTAGCCATTCTTCATGTTGACATAACATTAACAACAGTTATTATCAGTCATCTCAGTTCGCCAATTTTATCGATCTTGCATTTAATCTAATCTGCACGTGTATAACAAATAATGACGTTATTTGCGCAAGCTAAAACACAACTGCATGAGACAGAATAAACAGTACTTGATGCCAATACATAACGTTTCGTATACATAGTGGATAGTTTAAGCAGTTTCAGTCGGCTCGTAGTGCTTCCTCCCACCTTGTTACTCAACTACCCCTCTTTGTTAGCGGCTCAGCACACGAACCCACGTACAGACAGCACATAACAACACCTTGTTGGTATTACTATCTAATCACAATCTTACTTGCGAAGTACGATGACACAAATAAGTAATGCCATGTACTATTTGATTTAGAATTCCTTGTACTGCTTGTTTTTGTACGATTCTAACGAACTGTGTTTAACAACATCAATGAGTAGAGTTAGAACAATCTAGAATTTTAATAACTCTTTTGTTACGGAAAGCAATGTATTTAATTCAGTTTTCAGTGTACGATTTCTGTACACACTAATGAATAAATTAGTCATTTCGAGACCCAATTTTTCTTCTTTGGTCGTCATTGACAAGGGTATTACTGCAGCTGTTTACAAAAGTCGTCTGCACGAAATACAAAAACCCCTTGCTTTATTTATACGATGTTTCCTTAATGTTGAGTCATCTGTGAGCTCAGTACTACAGTCACATTAGCGCGGTACCTAGACAATACCGAGCAGTTCGCGCCGCGTGACGCGCGTCGCGTCTCCACAGATATCGTACTCTTTGATGTAAAATTGTCTACAGTACCTACGTACCTCTCTAATTAGAGAAAAACCTATATTGTGTAGTGAATATTTATGATATTGTAGTGTAGTTCTCGCTAGTGCCATATGAAATCGTAGTTTGTGTTTATTCGCTTGTTTATAAGATTTTATGTGAAAGTGCAATATCGTTTTTATGTCATGCTGATGACTGCCTGAAATACAAAAGTGCCATTTTAGTGTTATAGTGAAAGTGATCTCAGTAACGGTGGGTTTTATTGCTTGGCTAATAACCAGTATGATTCTAGCATTATACCTAATACAATATTGCACTAGAGTTTTTTGAAAGCATGTCAGTAGAATTATATAGATGTGTACCTATTTATAAATAAAGAAATTTTGTCTCAGTATAGTAAAACTGCATTTTGACAGTAATCAAATGACAATAGGTGTTTTGATACGAATTGTATAGTCCATTGATAAACTGGATTTACTGAATCGCAAGACGCGTTAGCCCTATTTACATATACTACGTAAGTACGTACGTGGACTGCTTACGAATACATGTATTGGTAGTATAAGTATACGCAAATTGATAATAGACAAACTTTTTTTTCTTTTTGCCATTCAACTGTCAAAATGCAACATTAATGACGTTTACATTAGTTATTCTAGTTCCGATATGCATGCACTAACATAATCTGTCTGTATGTGTATCTTTATGTATTTATTGTCGACAGACGAGGCGACTAACCACCAAAACTTGGCTGTTTTTGTCTAAAATTTAAACAAAATACAACACTATTGCACATCAACGTAAGTTATAGTAGATTAGTATAATAAATCAATCAGTTTATAGTATTGTTTCGCTTGGTTCATTTCTTAGTGAAGACATCAATTTTGTTTATGCTTTAATTCGATTTTCTGAACGAAACTGGCAATTTGTCATACGAATTTATTCCTTGCGTATTATGAAATTATGGCTGAATTTGCATCACTATTTTATGAAACAGACACTTTTTTATTTGTTCTCGTAAGTTTTCACAGTTCATGAATTCTTTACAAGGAGTATATATACCGTCATCCATTTCACCCGGCAACCAGTACGACGTTAATGGGCCGGATATGCCTCAATTTGACTTTGACACATATTTGTTGCGTAGCTATCCAAACAACACAACTCTGTTTATGACCCTAGAGACGGCAGCACATGTTCAAACTATTATACCATAACAACCAAGTGACTGTCTGAGCATTGTTTTTCGAATAAATGTAATATACAGGCACTTTTGAAACGATAAAATGCAATTATCCGTTAGTCAATCGATTAAAGAACGTCGGCCCATCGAATATTAATGAAAAAAATTAAGAATCTTTGGGAACCTCGAGCAAATTCGAATTATTAGAAGATTGTACAATATTGTGTCCAAAAAATAGTAAAGAAATCTTGTTTTCAAGTGTAAGTGTACGGTGTAAATTAATCACGTTCCACATAATCCTGTTTGTACGTCACGTCGCTGTTCACGCTCATTTCAAGGTCTATTTTACATTGAGAATTTGGTAAGGATTTACCTTTGTGTAACTTGTAACTGGGTAAGCAGAACATCTCTCTAAATGTTGTATATTTTAACAGCATACATGTACCTACCTGTGAAACCCAAGTTATCACAACGTGTATGACTAATATAACGTAATATGTACAAATGCGGTTGACTCACTGCTGATATCCTCAGATAAGCCACCATTGATTTACCTCACATAATAACGGGATTTCATAAAAGAACAATCTATTCTTTGTTTTTGAATCTGTTTGGTAAAATGAGACTTTCATACGAATGTAAAGAGATACTGTGCAAAACAATCTAAATAGATCAGATACAAACCTAAATTTGTATTTCTCGTAACTAAATATAATCCAAATACGAAAAATTACCGAAATGTAATCAGCGTGTTATCAATTATCACGCTTAGTCACGCTCATTATCGCTCGCAGCTAGTAGTGTACTGTACATGGTCACATCACTGACATTGGTGAGAAATCAATCGAAAATAACAGCTACGTGTAACAAGGTGATAATTTATGTTATCTTGTCTGTGCCTAACCTGCCATGGACAATCAATACCAATCAATGTCCTTCAGATTAGGTACCTTATGTTTTACTATACGCATAACCTTTTTTTACTTTGGAAAACTTTGCCCCACGCTAGGATTTTCTCCTGTGTCGTGGTTGCGTTTGCAAACATACAAGTACACATAATCTAGACAGCTCTAAGAATAGAGAGGTTCTTTTCGAACCACATTTACATTATATTCAAGTTAAAACTTCAGAGCATTTATGTGTAGGACCTTATGATGTAGGCATTAGACTTCTAGCTTTTACCTCGACGTAATTAATTACGAATCTTTCATGCCATATCTTTCTCGAAGACTTTATCGGTAATTCAAACAAATCTTGTAAGCAAACATTAACCAAAATGTCTTTGTGCGTCGGGTCAATCGCCGCAGATAAAAATATAATGTACCAAAGCGTCACATGTTTACCAGGTTCACCGTCCGAAATAACAACCATTGTATGAAATAAAGACCTGGTCCTTTGACACCCTGAAACAATGGATTCGGGAACAAGGACCACAATGCCTGCCAAGTTTTGTGGCTTCTGGACCAAATTCTTCAAGCTTCAAGTACCACTTACTAAGAGTGTAAACATTTGTTATGTTTTCTTTGATATTAGCAAGTCACAAAGGTCACAGATTATGTACCTACTTTTCTTTCTTCATCATGAAGATGTTATTCAAACGACTCCTATGCACAGGGCGTTCAAAGATCCCCACTAACTCTTTATTCCATACAACATATGGGTGTTTAATATAAATATCCATTAGCACAATCATGAGTACTATCAATTTTAGCATCACAGTCCGATCGTGATACATCACATTAGTGTGATTAGCTACCGTAGTGTTGTGACATACACAGCTACGGCTAGTGTCGCGCCGGCCGGCATCCAATTAGTGCGCGACTGTAAATAGTTGGAAGTCAATTAGAGATGGCCCGAGTGTCAGTGTCCTCACTGTCCACACACCGACTGAATACTTACATGTGTACGCCACGTCCTTTACTGTGATTGAAGGTGAATTACCGTTTCAAAATTATGTCCAATGTAAACTGGATGATTACTACAAAGTTGTGACTTTTTGCCGGCGACTTCTGTCGCAATGACTTTAATATTTTGTGGACACCGTAAAGTTAAACGACAACATAATCATAGAAATTCCCTCCTTACCATTCTCCCCTTACAAGTTTTATTTTACAAAATGAAGCCGCCAATATTTGTCACAGTCGTAAGTGTCGTAACAAACAAATTCATCTCAGAATTTGCAATATTAGAATATTTTATAGACCATAAAGTATAGGACATAAGAGAGCATAAATATGATCTGTCATAAAAGGTTTATGCCTTCATAGCACCAATGGTGAGCTCGACAATTTATTCAAGGGTTGGATACGTACATGTGACCCGAAATAGAGATTTGTCCGTGAACTTCGTTAACAGAAGTTCCCCCAGCCTAAGTAAAATATACAGTTCCTAGTATTGCTTCAAATAACACAGCAGGTTTCCAGGAAATAAAGTAGTGATGTAAAGTTTTCCTGCCCGTATGTTACATTTTACTCGTGTTTATGTTACTCTGTAGCCTCTACTCGGATCGTTAGATACTAGTTCTAGTGCACTATAGGCACTGATAAATAAATGGGACACAAAATATCCTCAAATGTCTGCCTCATTTAGCGTTGCGCCTCATAGTTCATTACTGTTTTTGCGAGGAAAATATTAATAGCCGCAAATAACTAATAGTTAGACGAATTATACAAATTAGCCTTACCTCTAAGATAGTAAAAGGACACCGATTGTACATTGTTCCATCTGGGAATTGTACCGAAAACTTTAGTTTCATTCTACAATTAATTGTTACTTAAACCACGGCGCTTAAGATGAGGATATTAAAAAAAAAATATGGGAATACCTGGTGATTGCTTGTAAACACGTAGAAGGAATGTACAGTGTGCAAAACAATCATGGACTTATAAGGAATTACGTTTTGTGTCCCTGTTTTATACTGCTTTGTATTTATTTCGAACTAAAATAATAAACTGAATATTTGAGTAATGTTATGTAGGTACAATTTAGCATGAAATTAAATCTTTAAATGTTATTCATAGTACAAAATAGTTTATAAAAAGAAGTTCTATTATATTTCTTAAAAAAAATTGTCATATCTTATGTTGTGTTATTAGTTTTGCTCCTTATAAGAAATGTTATGTCTTTTGATTGCAATCTCATCTCTATAACTATGCGTCTTAAATCCTGTCGCCAATTCATTGAACACATTCAAGTTAGTTTAGTTTTCTGATATCAAACAAAACTGTTAAATTAAAAGTTCCCCTACTCACACCTCGGGGAATAAACAGGCTTCACTGTAAATACTTGAGTCATCAATAAATATAACATTAAAAATATATTTTGAATAAAAACAACGCCGATGATTACTCGAGATAACAGTACTTGGGTTTATTGTAGCCGTGTGTATTGTTTACTAAATAAGTAAAATACTTTATCGTAAATACTCAACAGGATAAATAACACTTTCAGTTTTATCAGTAGATAACCAACCTCTTTGTTATGAAGTCCGAAATTCAAAAATATACAATTTATGAATTGAATAATCTTGAATATCTGTAAGCATGTAAGAACCCAATTATGGGAGGGTATACGACTTAAATTATAATTTCTTAACACTGATATTTCATAAAAATTGATTACTTACGTGGCTCTCAGATTTATTTAGCATTATAATATAATTATGTATAGCAAAACTTTCATACAATGTTTGAAGAATGAAAGAAGTGTGTGTGTTAATTTTAGACATCATCATGATTTCATTATTTTTATTTGCAAAGTTATTTTATCATTGAACTGTAAGAAACACTAGTTACTGGGTACCCATGCAGCATTATTTATAAATGATTGTGTATTTCAGATGCCCCGCGGCCGGGACGAAATGCAAGTAAACGTGGCGGGCCTAAGGAGAAATATTAAAAACCTCGCGCACAACTATTCCGATGCCCAGGTATAGTACAACAATATACATAGAAATACATAGTACAGCAGTTGTAGAATTAGTAATAATGTTGAGAGACTATTGTCAGTGCCTTTGTATGAAACTTGGTTAAGGACACCTTCAAGTGTGGTATTGGAAAATGAAATGACATCACTTATTATGTACTATGATTGATTACAATTTACAATCATAGATGGTTTTTAAGTAGTGAAGGAGCACAACTTGCAAAAATTGCATGGTAACATGAGCCTAAAGTCTAAATTGTCCATAACTTGTATCCATTCACTGTTGCACATAGGGTTCCCATAGTAACAGTACGCCGCGTATTACTTTTGGCTGATCTGTCTCTAATTTTCATTTTTTTTATATATTAAACTGTCAAACACCAAGCGGTCACCGGTGACCACAACCTATTGTTCTATAATTGTGTCTACAAAACCGGTACTCGACGAGTTAAGAGGAACAGTAAACTGTTACTTACATTATAAAGTCTTACTAATTACATACATAGTTTACACAAGATACATTTTGGACAATAATTATAATGCAACCCATAACACAGTCCACAGGTTCCCATTAGAATCTAATAAATACAGAAATTAATTAATTAATCACTAGAGGCCAAAGTCGTTTACATAATAAAATTTAAATGAACAGTAAAATACAGGTACATTATAATATTTGCTCATGAATTCGACTATATGTTTCAGGTAAAAGTGCGCGAGGCGACATCAAACGACCCATGGGGCCCTTCAAGCACGCTGATGGCGGAGATCGCCGACCTCACGTACAACGTGATGGCGTTCACAGAAATCATGCAGATGATCTGGAAGAGGCTCAACGACCACGGCAAGAACTGGCGGCACGTATACAAGGCGCTGGTGCTCATGGAGTACCTCATCAGGACCGGCAGTGAGAAGGTGGCGATGCAGTGCAAAGAGAATATCTTCGCAATACATACGCTTAAAGATTTCCAATATATGGAAGAGGGGAAAGATCAGGGTGAGTGCCTTGTCAGACTAGCGAATACCATTTAAGTATTGAATAAGAGTCAGTAATGTGCAACATTGCTAAGATTTCCCAAGCTATGGTAACTGCTTTCCATCAGGCGGACCATAATCTTATTTGGCATATAAAAATGGCGTGTAAGGTAAAGATACCTCAATGGCAATATATTTTCTTCCATGATTTATTTCAAATAATCGTCGAATCTTTTGTCGAAAATCAAAAACCATTGCATAACAAAGACGGTGTTTAGTGCTTGCTTAATAAATGTACAGATATTTGTGAAATACATAATGTTTCACAAACAAAATTGTTTACAAGTCCTTGCGCTAGCATTGATTGCGCGGTGACGTAATCAGGAATTTGATAGCCGCTAATTAGAGTGACGTAACTAGCGTACAGCGGGCTTACAATCCAGTTTTTTTCTCAAATATTATGAAAATTTAATTTCAACACTGCACCGGTTAGGTTTTCAAGCATTTAAATAACGAAGCTGTTTCACTACATAGTATAAAATAACTCGTATCGTTTTACACCGTCTATGTGTCTGTATGGTTAGATCTTTAAAATTACGTAACAGATTTTGATGGGTTTTTTTTAAAGATAGAGTGATTCAAGAGAAATGTTTATGTGTATAATAACTCCGAATTTAACGCAAGCGAAGCCACGGGCAAAAGCTACTACAGCTAATAAGACAATGATAGCGCGTTAGTAATGTTTGAGTTTTCTAATATGAAACATCATATTCAACAAACGTACTTACGACTACACTAAGCCAGTAATAATATATATTTTAACTGCTTTCCTTGAACTCTAATTACTAGTGAAAAGAAGTTTACTACTTAACATATCTGTAATGAAGTTACCTTGTACTTAATCCAAGCTTCTAAACTATGCTAGTACTTCTACTAAAGGTCCTACTGTCGCAACTGTATGCCTAAGTACTAAGTAATCAGTCATCATGTGACGAATGTTAATGATATGCGCAAGCGCCATGTGAGGCGGAGGCGTTGCATTATCTATTGCTGTGATAGTGAATAGGGATCGCAAACTATGGTTCATTATTATACCCTTTTAGATTTTGGTGTCACTATTTCAAACTACTTGTCAAAATCAAATGTGTTTAACACTGCTTTTGTTAAAATATATAAATTAACGTATATTTATTCAAATTAACCTATAGATTAATTCGATAATACAATTAAACTAATTTCGTATCTAGGGGTTATAAAAGGGAATCTAGGTGTTAATTCATTGAACTTTACTTCTGAAATCATACATAAATGCGAATTGAATATCATTATGTAAAATTAAATGAAACCACTATGTTGAGAACATCTGAAATATTTGATATTTCTGTGGGATTATCCAGCGCTGTGTGTATTGTTAACAGTTTGACAGTGACCCTCATTGTGTACGCATTTTATTATAAAGTTACTTTATTACATTGAATTAAATTCATAACTAAACTTGGGAGCAGTAACATTTTAGCGCAGATTTTTTAAGTAAGTGTAAAACTTTAAAGTTAAATATAGTTTAGATGTAGTAGGTAGAACACGGGAGACGGTGTACGCCTACTTTTTTAGCATAATACTTTACAATCAGCCAGTTTCCGTTCCACTCTGTTAAACATAAGGCCTCTTCAACAATCTATGAACTAGGAAATTGTGACAAATCCCTCTTAGATATACCAGCACCAGACTCTCGTGACCTGTTCATATATGTGCTCAATCTTTAGATCTTCCTTTTTCTAACATATACTATTATACTTGTTCCAGGTCAAAACGTTCGCGAGAAGGCGAAATCATTAGTGAACCTGTTGAAAGACGAAGAGAGACTAAAGAACGAGCGAGCGCGCGCCCTCAAGGCGAAGCAGAGGTTCGCGCAGAGTGCCAGCGCCTTCGGCAGCGACGGCGCGCTCGACACGCCCAGCAGCCCCTCCTACCCAGCCGTGAGTACAATACAATAAAATATCTTTTATGTACACCATATAGGTTCTATAGTGTGCACAGGAACATAACCTAAAGATAAGAAATGGTCACAATAAAGGTTGTATGCGTATGCGAAAACGTTAATATATTATATATCTTATTTTATAAGGATTTTGGAGAACAACTGTCGAGTATCACCAGAGAAATATCTTAAAATTATTCTGTCTCATGTAATTTATGTGTTTAAATAATACTTGGCACTTAGCACGCTCATTGTGTTCATGCACATAACCTAACATTATTATAGTCACTTATTCACACGTCACCGCATCTAACTTGTCACGTTAACGCTTAACCTCCCTGTTAACATGTCGGTTATGTCCTACAGTTCGGCAGTGAAGGCGCGCTAGGAGGGCTGGACTCCAGTCCGTACCCCACGGTGAGCACTTTGTACCTAACCAACACACATACACACTCTTGTTTTAATTATATGAAAATATTAAGTATAATTAACCCTTTAACTTCGTTGGCCGTTCTTATAAATGAGTGTTTATTTAAGGTTCAGGTCCACGGTGGGCGAATTTTCTCCATGTCGGTGAAAAAGAATTTGTTTTAATGCTTGTGAACCACAACATAATGAATTTATTTAGTTAGCTTAGTTATGCTTTCGTTATTCCAGTTGAAGGATTGAATATTCTTACTAGGTTGTAATTTGCCCACCATAGATCTGAATAACAAACTGTTGCTGACACGCTTGAATGAACACTATACTGTGAAGTATTGTGAGGCACGGTGGTGTAAGTGAGTGCGCGGTGTTCCAGCTGAGCGGCTCGGGCGCGGAGTGGTCGGGGCGCGAGGCCGAGCTGGCGCGCCCGCTCACCGCCGGCGAGGAGGAGCTGCAGCTGCAGCTGGCGCTCGCCATGTCGCGCGAGGAGGCCGAGCGGGACGAGCGCCGCCGCCGCTCCGACGACGTCCGCCTGCAGCTCGCCATCAGCCAGTCGCAGCAGGACTTCCAGTTAGTAACACCGTCATATGTATTGTGTCGCGGGTAATCATGTAGGTAGTTATTATAAGAGCCATTAGAAAAGCATAATCATAAATGGAAAACCAGTTGTGTAATTATATTGGCTATCTTAATGACTGAGATGATATCTATCACGAATTATTTAAGAGAAGAATAAAATTTAAATATTGGGCGTAATCTAACCAAAATCACCAGTTGTTCCTTACCCCACCCTGTAACCATCCACCATCACAATTACACCACCCTACCACCACATCCCCATCCTAATCCCAATCCCGTCCCCTCCAGAATAGAAGCGTTCATCCGCGACGAAGCAGTGCGCCTCCAGTTATACAAACCCGCGCCCTCCGCGCCAGCGTGGTCGGTAGTGGAGGGCGCGGCGCCCCCGAGCGCGCCCCCCGCGCCCCCCGCGCCCCCGGCCGCGCCCCTGCGGAGCTGGCTGTACGGCTGCATGGAGTGTCTCAGACCGAATGTAATACAGTCAGTGCCGACTCGTCACTACCTAGTTACCAGTGTTACACTTACTGCACACCCATCCTTTGTCAGTCTGCGCCCGGAAAGTAATGCTAGGCTCGCCTTAGAGAGACTACAGAGGCTCGTCGAACGAACTTCGTCAAAACTAAGTCGTATGTGGGTCGCAAACCGAGAACGTTATATTAACGCTAAGTTAGTTGGGCAAAACGGGAGGAGGACGTAATTTACTAAACTTATCTATTGTTTTAAATTAATTAAACTATTCACTTGTTTATTATACTTTTTTGTTTTTGGCTGCTATAAATAAATAAATGATATTTATTTCTATCTTCTTTCTTTTCTTTTTCGTGTACACGTTGGAGTAAGAGCTCAGTTAAGTTACGTAGTTGAAGTAAACAAACGTATATTAGAAGACATGTCATGTCAGACCACAGACTATACTCAGCGGCTCAACTACATATCAGCATACAACTAACTTTGGCATATTTAACTAACTCAATTTATAAAAAAACTGCTAACTACGCTAGATTATCTAAACTTAGTTCTTGGTTTGCAACCTACAGACAACGTGTTCTAGACTATATAATGTTATATATACGTGTTAACGATGTATATTCTCCCCCAGGACCACAGACGGCCTGCCGCCGCCTAAGAAGGGCCAGTCGTCGTCCCAACAGTCCCACCTGCTGGACCTGCTGGACGTCAACCTCAGCAGTCCGCCGTCCACCGCGCCGCCTCCACTAGTGGACCCGTGGGCCGGAGAACAACCTAGACCGGTACATACACTGCTCTAACCAACCTGACACTCATGAATATAGGTTTACGAAGGTTAAAGTGCTTAAGAAGCAAGCCCCGATATTTAGACGTACGACGATGGGAGCAATGATTATTGTTATAATTTGGAAATCGCCAATTATGGCTTGAGAAAGTGTAATAATCGAATTTCAAGAATGAAGTCTGAAATATTTTTTACTCAAAACCTTGGTGGTACCAAAAATATGCTGCTAATCATCATTGTCTTTATTTACATACATAACATACATTACATAACATCACGCCTTTTATCCCCGAACGGGTAGGCAGAGGTGCACATTATGGCACTTAATGCCACTGTATAATGTAACAACCGCTTTTCACTATTTATGTTATGAGTCCCATGTAATAGGGGGTGAGCCTATTGCCATATACCGGGCACATTTCCAAACTTCGTGCTACTTTCTTTCTCGTACTTTCGACCACTCGGCCGATGAGGCAGTGTCTTAATTTATACAACCAAATATTGTGTCAGTAAATCAATATTTATTTATTATTTAATAATGTTCTGGTTTCTATTCTACCAGTCGCATTTGGATTTCAGTATATTTACTGACTCGATGGTGAGATCTATGAGTGCGCAGTAATTTGCTAGAAGTGTGTCTTGACATTTAAACTATTCCGTGTTGTGTAGACTGCTAGATTAAATAAGAAAATTAAAAGGAGCAGTTTTACTATGTATGCTAATTTGTAACTCTTTATATGAATAATTGTAATGAAACGTGCAATCGTATCTGTACAGGAGACATCGTCAGACGCGTGGTCTGCAGTAGGCAGCCCCGCGAAGGACCCGTGGGCACCCGCCGCGCCCGCCGACCCCTGGGCGCCCGTCGCGCATGTGAGTACTCCTACATAACAATATTAAGATAATGATAAGTAACATGTTTTCTTATTAAGCAACCATAGAGTATTTAACCTCTATGTTGTAGGTGCCTTTATAAACATATAAGTTCACATATACATTACACCCAGACTTGAAACAATGATTAGGGGTTCGTACAAAAAATTGTTCTGTTTCTTGTGTCTCAAATATCATAAATTTATCAAGGATGTCGAATTGAAAAGATGTTGTACGTATATTATTATTAACTGTGTATGTTACAATGTTTGCAGGCGAAGTCCCCTGTATCTGTCCTGTCGTCGCCTTCGTCGTCGGAGCTGGAGCAGTTCGACGCACTGTCGCAGCGACCTCGGAACAACCTCAACAACAACACCGAGCCCGACCCCTTCGACCTCACCGCGTTAAGTCAGTATTTATTACTTACTTAGTACTTACTACCAAACCAGCCGTAGATGAAAAGAAGTAAAGATATTCATAAAAGTATAAATTTTATAATCACATAACTACTTTTTAGCCAATTATGTTATAAATCATATGTATCATGTACAACTCCAAACTCCGTGCTATTTATTACTGAAAATGTTCAAAAACATGCAAATGTCAAGAATAGCTTGCTCGACCTGCGTTCGAAATGCACTTGTAAACACTTGACAAACAAATAAGAGATGTTATAGAAAAACTAAAGTAAGAAATGAATGACAGGTGACAGTCTGACTCCGAAGCCGTCGTCCCCGGCGGGCGCGGCGGGCATGAAGAAGTCTCCGTCCGCGTTCCTGGGCGAGAACTCGTCGCTCGTGAACCTCGACCGCCTGCTGCAGCCGGCCGCCGCCGACCTGGCGCCCGCCCACAACCCCTTCGCGGACCCCGCGCCGCCCCCCGCGCGCCCCGCCGCCGCCATGTTCACGCAGCCACCACCGGTCAGACCCCACTACTCATTTATCTTGCTTGCTTTCATTTTAAATTGTTCATTGGTGTTTATCTGCCTGTCAAACAGGTACCGAAACGACACGATCCTAATACTGATATATCCCTCAGGCGCGGCTAACTATGAACGAGTTGAAACAGCAACAGATGGGTCTCACGGGACTCAACTTCGGCACGGCTTCCCCAGCGTTTGGGGCGCCAGCTCCCATGCCTACCATGGCAGCTCCGCTGGCGCCCAGTGGGATAGCGGGTGGCATGCCGACGGGCGGGCTGGCGCCCAGCCTGGCGCCCGCGGGCGTGGCTCCCGGCGCGGACCCGTGGGCGCCCGTGCCGGCGCCGCGCTCGACGTCGCCGTGGTCGCCGCCGCACCAACGTCACACGCCCAACCCCTTCCTCTCCTAGCCGCTCCCCACACTGGTAATTATCATCTATTTTACATTTATTTGTAGACAAAATATACACAGTTACAAAGTTGACATGAAGTGTTTACATGATTAATAATGGAAGTACCTATTGTGTTGCAGGGTTCAAGATAACGCGGGGCGCGTCGCGTGCGCCGGTCCCGCGCCGGGCCGTACGGCGCGCGGCCGGCGCCGGGCGGGCCGGACCGGGGCCGGGGCCGGGTCCGGCGGCCCGCCCACAAACTGTTCTACTACCACGACTACGTGTACTTGACCAAATCATAAAGTGTACCCCACTGTCGCGAGAACTTGTACCGAACAATATATTATTCCTCAGTCGCCGCTTTATGGAATTAGTATTTGTGTTTCTTTTGTACGTCCTATATAAACGATCACCAATTTTGATTACCAATAAAATGTATGTATATTAATTGTATTTGTTGTAATAAGTAATTACGCAATGGTGTGTGGTATAATCATGTGAAATTATGTTCTAATAATATATTGTGGACTCATATGGTGGTAGGTAGATGCGGGTGTCGACGACATCTTCAACTGAAAAATTTGGTGACAAAAAAAATACAAAATAAATTAATTTTATAGAAAAAAAATGTATAAAATGTACGACGGATGCTATTTAAAAAAATGTAATATAATGAATAAGATTTTTTATTATAAAAGGAGACGTGTTGAGTAATGTTGCGTGCTCAGCGAATGTATGTTCCGTTAGTGTGGATGTGTCGACACCCACTGACTGTAGTCGCAGTATACATAATGTAAAATGAAATGTCTTTTATTAATAGACTGGATAATGCTGTGAGCTGTCGTGTAATATATGTAGCCGAGCCTGTCTGTCTGTGCGTCGCCGGCGCACATAGGTTACGCTAGGAAATTATTCGTAATTTTATATTGTACAAACATCTGAGTAACTAATTGAGATTGTACAGTTTCCGATTGAATAAAGTATATAGTTGTAAAGTGGTCGTGTCATGTGCTTATATCTTCAAAGTAAATGTAATGAACTTTTACATTTAAAAGTAAATAAGGCAATAAATCTACATAATTGTAATAATCTACTTGTATGTAATATTAATCGAGCCTGGTTAAATCAGGCTCGCGAAGGCTAGACTGTAATATTGCTGCGCACGCACAGACAGACAGTACATAGTGAACTAGCATATATATATATATATATATATATATATATAGTGAAGTAGCGGCAATAGTGTTAACGTTTGGGGCCGACGTCGACCGCTACACATCCGCGATACTTGTACAATGTTCTCGAATACTTGAGAATCTAAATCTGACGTCATCTGTGGCGATGTCCGCGGCTAAATTATAAGCAATACGTGTGTAATAGTTGCACACTTGTGCCCGATAATAATATGTTAAAGACACCAAACACTTGGCTGAGTATGACGAGCTGTGTGGGTCGTGCTCTCACGTAGAGGCTGTGTGCATCGTCACTGCTCGCGCCCCACTCGGGTGGTTAGGGTTTGGTAAGGCGCTTGGTGAGGTTCACCGAGTGACCCATGTATCCCGCGTCCACCAAGGCATTACCCAGATGTCGGATAGTGAGGCTCGGTGAAACTCATCAAGTGGTTGTCGCGACGACTAAGGTGACAAGTTGTTATTCGTGCCTTAGTAAAGTTTTGTATTACAGTAATTGTATTGTACGTCGCCCTCCACTTCTCTTCTCCCCCCCTCTCAAACCTGTGTTAAGATCATGGAGGTAACGGGCTGCGTACTCGTGACGTACTCGGTACAATACAAGACTGGGGTGAATGTAACTTACGTTTGTATTGTGATTTGTTACAATTCCCGAGTCTTGGTTGTTAAGTTCATTCCGAATTATGTCCATGATCTGTGCACAATTATAATTACATTACTCTGAAGTCACAAATCTCTTGGAGAGCTACTTCTCGAGGGCTGCTGACCTCTACAAAGGAGCAATCTTGAATATACGGTTTCAAGAGAAAAGTTATTTGTCCAACAAATTGTTCACTATTTTCGCATTTTTACGTAAACATTTATAAAGTTCATTATACTTTGAAATACACGAAGAAACATTTTGTAAACAATTTTTATGTCATTCGGTTAGGAGATTTTTCTCACTTGGATATTGTTTGACAAATTCCTGTGTTTGCAATAGCTAAACAGCACACACTGGGTGTACCGGCTTGTAGTAACGAATGACTGAGCCGCGCCCACTCCACAGGAATGCGTTCATAGCGTATATGTATGGTATATATTTATTTCCTCATTATTATAGTATTCGACGTATTAGAGAAATTATTTACGTTTAGATTACACGCTCGCTGTGTTGCCACGCGCGAAACAAAATCACCTCCTTGCCAGATAAGAAATCGCATTTATATAATTTTACTTTATATTCATTTGTTGATAAATAGTTGACTACAGTTTCTAAAGCTGCTCGTGCCGGTAACACAGTGTACGTTTGTTTTTTTTCGCTTATTAACTAGCAGGTTGATATGGTTATTGTTTATCCGTTGTTTAGATGAATTATAATTTTTATTTTTAATATTATTTCTTGACCATTAAATGCATCGATGCTAATTCAACGTGTCACTAGCTAGGGAGAAACTGTAAAGATTAATGTAACTATTTAATTAAAATATATAAGTTTTTCAATACATCTATGTGTCTCATTTAGTACTCGCAGCACGCTAAACACCGTATGATCTCCTTCAGTAGAACGAGTTCGATCCCTACTCTATCCTAGCTGCCCCCGCTACGTTCACGCAATATATGTTTCAGTCTGCGCCGAAGTAGTGGTCACAGTTCATATGTGGTAACGTCACGAATTATCTACACTTTGTGTTTCGAAGTGCAAGATTTCATAACATAGTAAGGAATGTATTAAAAAGTGGATAGGAAATATTCTAAAATAAGATTCTCGGTTACTATGAAAATGTCGTAGGAGGTACCTGCTACAGGGTAGCATAAATAAAGCAACAAGAGTAAACGTAGATAGTTTAATAATTATTCTTTTATGAAGTTTTACGTTTAAAAAACCGACTTCAACCCCCTCTTTTATGAAGTCGGATTATTAATATAATATAATATTACCTTCTAATCTAAGTGCAACAGACACTTTTTTGAAAACGACATCTAAATCGGTTCAGTCAATTGCGAGATACTATAATTTATATCACATGAATTGAGTTTTTTTTAAGGGGGGAAATTATCGAATGACTGCTCCCGCCTGGGTGAGGCTAGAGGGAATGTCACTTACTGACTAAAAACCACCCTGTTCCGTGTGCGTTACCCAGGCCAGATGTTGTCGAAAATGGTCATTGGAATCTTATAGATATAATTACTTGCGCGGCTTCTGTAATTGTTGCGCACATTTTTAAATTTCTTGCGCTTATAGTTTTTTAATTATTTCACAAAAATATTTCCTGCTGGGGTAACGTTACCCCAGCCAGACCTTTTTCTTTCTAATGGGAATATTTAAATAATTACTATAGCTATAAAATTAGTTGTCTAGATGAAGTAAATGTTGCGCCTTGTTTTGTGGTCAAATAACACCGCGCGCATCAAGGCCGTGCTCGCGAAGAACTCAATATCATCATAACTTGTTCAATACTTACAGGATACTAATGAAACTTCACATAAATATGAAGGCAGTCACAAGCTTTTAAATAACGTTTAAAGTAAGTCTTTAGAGCTGTTATTGAGAGTGCTGGGACCAATTTAAGTGTTTTTCTATTTAATGAAATAACTTTTAAGCTATTTATTATTTTGGGTTTTTTATTGCACAACAAATTTGAACTAATTAATAAGAAGCCATGTACCAATATGATAAGAATCCGCTTAACAATTTCAAAGATCTAGCAAAATCCAAAACGTTTACCCAGCAAAATCTCGAATAATTTCGCAACCGATGAAAGAACAAATACGAAACAAGGCGCAACATTTACTTCATCTAGACAACTAATTTTATAGCTAGTAATTATTTAAATATTCCCATTAGAAAGAAAAAGGTCTGGCTGGGTAACGTTACCCCAGCAGTAAATGTTTTTGTGAAATAATTAAAAAACTATAAGCGCAACAAATTTAAAAAAGTGCGCAACAATTACAGAAGCCGCGCAACTAATTATCTATAAGATTCAAATGACCATTTTCGACAACATCTGGCCTGGGTAACGCACACGCTCCTGCACGTCGAGCCGGAGCCCCGGAAACCTTTAGGTTCTCCGCGACATGAATTGAGTATGACTTTATTTTTTTTTAAAGAATTGTTGCCCTACACTAGAATTTTCTCCTGTATCGTGGGTGCATTTACAAACATACAAGTTCACATACACATGACGCCCAGACCCGAAACAACAATTTGTGGATCACACAATGTTGTTCCATGCGGGAATCGAACCCGCGACACGTTGCACCGCAGCCGGTTGCCCAGCCACCGCACCAACCGTGCATTTAAAGAAAAGCAGTCACTTCCTTGCAGACAGTCCGCCTTGCATATATTCCTTTCCACTGATCATGATTAGCCTGATGGAAGCAAAGGATTCAAGATGGAAGTTACGGACCAAAATACAAATAAAACACAAATGTACAATATGATTATAATTTATTCATTAATAGTTTACAAAGACGTTATCGTACAAATATTTCAGAATCAGCATTGCATACAAAATACCCTTAGTAAAAAAACATATTTCTCGTTTTGTTCATTATAAAAAAAGAGTCAACGCTTCCCAAACGTTATCGTAAGTACAGACTTATTACGCAAATGGAAACCGTTTATATACAAGACTATGCACCAGATACAAATCTCAGTTTTTATGTAAAAAATAATTAGTAAAAATGGTTGTAATCCCATGTCGTAATTGTAAAAGCATGGAATGGACGATTATATAGTTGGGAGCGGCTCAAGCTTACCCTAACGTGATAACTTACAATAACTTACCTACCTTACATGTTCATTAATTAGAAGCCAGACTCGGTGCCCTCGTCCACGCGGCACTCGGCCGGGTGTCCAGTACTTGAGCCTGTCACATTAACTGTGCACAACTGGTTATGTCCACGTGTTCAACTGACTGCAATAGTATATATAGTGGTGCGAGTTAATGGTGCGACGTTATGCAGAGTTAATATAGCCGGACCGAGTTGAGCAGTGCGGGGTACATAGTGGCGAGCACTCGTCTGGTATTGCGTCAATCCCTGTTTAACTTAAATTAATTACGGTACAGTGTTACTGCAGTTATGTGCTGTTTGTAGGCATCAGTCTCACGATGTTAACATTTCACTAACCTACATGACACGACGGTAGTCAAGTACTGGGAGCTGATAAAAATTGTATAAAAACCATCGACTAGACACTACAATATCCAATAAATATTTTTCGAAAAATTTCAGAATAATGTCTTCCGTACTAATAATATACCATACAATCTAGAATAAATAATTCAAGCGATACGAGTGACGGTCACAAAATATTTAAATATAAAAATAATTCGACGTAAGCAACATGACGGCAGATCTACCAGTTATAAGAAAAATAATAATCTATGATTACAATAAGATGAAGCGATATTTTCATAATGATCACATGCGCGCCATGCCGCGCGATACTATCATCTTACTCGTACTAAATGCAAAACAGGGCGGCGCCTCACTCCACGCTATGTTCCAGACATTGTTTTTTTTTTAGCACGAAATGTGTATCGTCAATGCAAGGGCATTGACTAACATTCCCATTTTATTATTTAATTAAACCATTCAGGCAGCGGATTCTGTCTCAGAATTGGCTGATTGGGTCGTTCGTCGCCGCCACAACTAACAAGATGGCGGCTAAAGGAATGAAGATAACGGCAGTAAGCGCGCGCCCTCCGTGATGACATTCTCGATATGAAGATACAAGTCCCGCACCGGCCGTGTACAACACGGGGCGGTGCGGCAATGGAAGAGTATTGCGAGTAGGAGGCGGTGGAGATCCTTTTGAACATGGTTTGGATGACTGATGAACTGATGGTGTATGACTGCCCAGTCAAAGGCCTGTGTTAAGTCAACTTAGGCCTGTATAGATTCAGAAGGACCGGTCGGGCAGCAGTGATGATGCGATCAAAAGGATTCCTGGGTGTGCGGGCTTAGTACTCCCAGTGCGTGGCGGTGCTGAGGTCGGGGCCGGCTAGGCGGAAGTTCCCGTTCTTGGCGGCGGCGAGGTAGTCCCCGCCCTGCGCGGCGCGGATGGCGAGGCGCGTGGGCTCGCGCAGCTCGAGGTGGAACCCTTGCGGGGAGTCCGCGTCGCATGTCACCGACTCGCTGTCTGCGTGCCAGTACTTGCCATTTTGTCCTGGAACGCGGAAATATTTATAGAGGTCAATAATATGACAATGGAAAACAATACCTGTATTATAGCATATATTTCTACCCTCCGTCATAGAAGGGAAGCCTATTACCATACATCTAGCATAATTCCAACTCTGTGCTATTATTTAGAAAGAACCCCGAAATTCTCAATATTTTGCCCGACTCGACAACCCAAGATCCTTTCAGCATTGCATTGAACGAGGCTTCCTTTTTATGCTACTACAGGTAACTGTTAGCTAGCTAGTTAATAAGCTTACCTTTGAAGTAGACAGCGCCCTTAGGTCCGCGGATGACCTGTATGGTCTCGTAGTTGGCCTTGTTGCACTCCAGCCTCACGCCCTTGGGGCCTACGAAGCCTTGCTCGCACTTCAGCACAAGTATAGGCCTGTGAATACATTTTGGTGATAAATTAAATGAACTGAAATATACAGCACCTACATTTATTACAGTTATTTTGTTAACCGGTTTAGGTATCATCATCAAAGTGGTATGTGTAGCTTAAAACTGCTATAAATACTGTATACATAATATAAAGTAGGTTTCAATGATGTTTCCTTATTTTAATATAATTGGATAGGTATAATAGTTACTATCAAAAATAATGTCACACTAGTTAGCCAGCACTTATTGTTTGTGCTAAATTTGACTTCCTTGATTTGACCGGGTAGTGTATAATAAAACATATTTAGTTTATTTCATTAGTTAAATGGTTACTATAATATGGTACGGACCTGTTGATGAGATAGAAGTAGTATTTGCAGTTGTCGTCGATGGAGTCCGCGTTGGCGTACAGGTGTCCGGAGCGCTTGGTCATCAGGTACTTGCCGTTGTTGGCGCGGAACGCCACGGCGCCGTCTCCCTGCCACTCCAACTCGAACAGGGCGTTTGAAGACCTGCACACAATTTTCCAATTGTAATAGTAGTCTATTTACAAAAAAGCCGTTTGGCTTTTTGAATGATAAGAAATGAAGAATAACTAAACGTTATGAACTTGATGTGTGACTATCTAATGAAAAACAGATTGACATTAATTGAGACTCACTGTTGGACCTCACTATAATCCTAATTAGAAGAATATGAAGACTAATTAACTTAGCTCGTGATTTTCACATTTAATGAGTTGCATCAACTACTGTTTTGCAATAAAATGAAGTTTCAAATCTTCCTAACAGCATCACCAGTTTAAGTTAGTGCACTTACTTGTTGTCTCCAGAAGCCTGGATGCCGCCTCCAGTCTCGAGGGTCCAGTACCGGTCCTGCATGGTGCGGATGTACCAGCGGCGCGTGGCCCAGTCGAACTCCAGCTGGAACGTC